CTTGTTTCCAGATACCACTTACACGTATGTTCCTCCCACGCCACTCACCGCCCTTCTTCTCAGTCTCTATTGATGATTTCTGAGCTCCCTTTTTTTTTTTTTTTTTTAATTTTCACCTGCCCCCAGGGTGACATCAGTCAGTTCTATGGCTTTACATCTCATCTATTTGGCAAATCTTAATTCTAGCCTGATCCTTTCCCCAAAGTTCAAACTTATATATCGAACCGCCATCCATACATCTTCATTTGTATAGTATCTAGGATGTCAAACTTTTCATGGTTTAAACTCTTAACCTTACTCCCTAGTATGTTCCTTTCCAGTCTTTTCCATTTCAGAGAGAGATGCCATCATTCAGCAAATTGCCTCATTCAAAAATCTGAGTTGTCTTTGATTTCTCTTGCTTCTTCACTTAGCATAGTCAATCCATTATTCTCCCCCCACCTTCTTCTACCATTATTTAACTTCTCTACATTGCCAGTCTTATCCAAGATATCAACATCTACTCATTGGACTACCAAAGACCTGCTAGGTGGTCTTACTTCCACTTTTTTCCCTTTCAATGCCTTCTTTACAGAACATCCAGAGTGATAAATTTTAAACAAAAATCAAATTAAATCCTCCTGCTGCCAACACTCCACAGACTTCCCATTCCATTTAGGATGCAATGCAAATTCCTTACTTTGGCCTACAAACCCAGCCAAGGAGTTGAGTGGCTCCTTTCTGTCCTTGTAGCCTCAGTTGGTGCCATTCCCATCATTCACCACATCAGCCTCCTTGGTCTTTCTTGCCTTCTCACACACACCAAGTTCATTCCCATGTTAGGGACCTTCTCCAGCAGGTCCCTCTGCCTGGATGTGCGTTTCCCTTATCTTCGCATGGATGGTTCCTTCTTATAAGTCATCCTGAATGTGAACTCTTCAGTGAGGCCTTTCATGACTTCCTAAAGTAGCTGCCAGTTGCTATCACATCTTTTATTTTCATTCTCTGCATAGCACTATTCCTGCTGGCATTCCTTACGATTTTCTCATTTGTTTATTTCCTCTTAACCAACTAGAAGGTAAGAACAGGGATCTCATTGATCACATTCATTGCTCTGTCCTCAGGCACTTGAATCAGAACCATTAGATGAACAGGTGTTACTGCAATTGCCAGAGCAACTTCCCCTGGGATTGCCAAGGGTTTCTGGGAATCCAAACTTTGGGCAGCCACACACTTGCACAGGGAACCGTAGACTAGCTGGCTGACAGTAGCTGCTAGTGATGAAGGTCAACTGGCAGAGGTGGATGCTACCCTAATATACATGAAAAATAAATATAAATAATGGGATGGCCTGGATTCAAATCCTAGCACTGTCACTTACTGCTTTTAAGTGGGCAAATATCTCTCTCTTTCTCTCTTTCCCTCCCTCCCTCTAGGATTTAGCTTTCCCATCTGTAACATGGGAACAACATGCCTCCTTTGCAGGAAGACTGTAAAGACTGAATGACTGAATACGACCCTGCCTGTGAAGTGCCCAGAAGAGCAACAGATAGGGACTTAGAGCCACAGCAGTCAAGGATCGCAAGTAAAGTGCAGCCCTATCTGATACGGAAAGTTCCTGGGGCCTAAATGTACTGAATTCAAACTCCGCTTTTCTTCTGAACCTCCATGTCCATCCTCACTGGTCCAGTCTGTGCTCCATTCCCACCAGACTTGGCCAGGTCTTACCACCATCAGATGCAGCACCCAGGGTACCTGCCACTTGCTGTTTTCTTCCCTCAGAATGACTGTAAATGTACTCGTGTGGCCCCTGCTCTCCAGTCCCTTTCTCTCTCCTTCCAGAACTGCTCCTATGACTGTCCTTAGGGGAGGCCGGCCAGCCCTCTAGGTAGGCTTATCCATAGCCAACGTTCTCCCCCACCGCCCCCAGGTGTCATCTACTCAGGACTGCCCATCTCTCTCTATTTCTCTCTCTCTCTCTCTCTCTCTCTCTCTCTCTCTCTCTCTCTCTCTCTCTCTCTCTCTCTCACTGTTTCTTAAGGATTGAAGTAAGATAATTAGATTCCAGCCACAAGTTGTCTACTTTCAGGACTAATTATGGTCCAAACCAAGGCCAGACTGACTTGCCTGGTTCTGATCTCCTCTAGGGCTCACTTCTGGCTGGAAGCTTTGGTAGGTCCCTGGTGAAGCTCATTTCACTATGTTTCTGAGAAACAGAATGAAGGGGGTCTGGCAAACTATAAATATAATGGCAAACTGGCAAACTATAAATATAATGTCACTATTATGGATTGTTTTGTGGGAAATGGATAATTAAATATATAGGAAACTATTGCCTATGGTTTCAAGAGAAAATAACAATTATCAATTTCCCTGGAGGCCAAGAAAGAGGCCTTTTGAAATTGAGGAGCGATATTCAGTATATTCTAGGCACAAATATACTCAGGTGGTATACAGTGAGACATAACTGCTAACCATGTAGGAAATAGGTGTGGGCAGCATGCCAGGAGATTTTGAAGTCCTGATAAAAAGAGTTTTTGTTGAGTCAGAAGTCCAATCAAACAACAAGGGCTGTGATGTGTCTCATTGGCACAGCCGTGAGATGCACAGAATCCTTGGAAATCTGGGAACAGCCCTTCACAGAGTGTGTCCTATCGCATGGCTGCCCTCACCCCAGCAAAAGCCTGGCCTTTAGTGTCCACCTATGGGTAGCATGGCAGAAACCTAGCTTGCTCCTTGCTGCCCTTGTGGTGTTTCTGTGCTGTTATTACATATGTAGCTCAATATCTCAAGAGGGCAACTAGTAAGAGAACTAGCCAAAGTTCCTGATAAGGAAAAGTTGCAAATTAAATAATTGTTTGAACTTTGGAGGAAAGTGTAGCATAAAATTAAGAGCATGTGTTCAGTACAGGCCAACTGCTTCTTAGCTGTGTGAGTGGAGATGAGATGCTTAAACTTTTGAAGTCTTATTGTTCCCAACTATAAAATAGGGACAATAACAAGAACTATCCATGGGTTGCTCTGAGGATTTTTGTCATGAGATAATTCACATAAGGCATTGAGAGCAGGGCCTGGGTGTGTGGTGAGAGCCCGTCGGTTAACTGCTGTCAACATTAGTATGTAGGACTGTGGTATCCTCCACAATGTCAAACAGCCGGTCCAACTTTCAGGCTGGAGCAATTAGTAACAGAATGCATCCCACCAAAAACAGGTTAAAAAGTGAAGATCGAGAAAGAGACTGGAACAGCAGGTGTCAGAAGATGGACTCGGGGGACCCTGAAACACAAATACTACCACACTGCTGCCCCCACATCTCACTACCCTACCCTGTCCGCCCCACTTTGCAGATCCAAACAACCCTCTGTATACCACTTATACCCTCTGCTCACAAAGCACACCCTCTGCAGAGCATTATTGACCTTGAGCAGTTTGAGGCATCTGTGTTCCCTTGTAGACATGTGTCCACATGCACATGTAACACAGAGCACTGAATGGGACATATGAATGTTCTCTGGGATGAACCACACACCAGCATGCACAAACATGTGAGCACACACACACACACACACACACACACACACACACACCCTGTGTGACTAACTCGAGTCAGCAGCCATGTCTCCCATGCAGCCTCCAGCATTGACACCCCCATCCTAGCTGAGTTCTATGTCTCTTCTCAGGTCTCTGCAGCCTGCTCTAAAATGACTTAATGAGTGACACTGGGCCAAGAAGTCTCGCCAAATTCCTACTGTGAATAATCTGGAGACTGAGGAATGCAGGCAGTGTTAAAGGGGATGTGGGATGGAGCATGGGACTTAGAGTCAGAATTGCTTTTGAAATCCAGCTTCACCTATTTATGTCTAATCTTGAGGCAATTTTTAAACTTTCTGAACTTCAGTTTTCTCATATCCAGGATGAGAAACACCCTGCCTCAATAGATGTTTTGATAATCCTGTTGATTCAGATAAAAGCACTTCATGACTGCCCTGGTTGGGGGGCTCAGTTGGTTGGAGCATCATTCCCTGCACCAAAAGGTTGTAGGTTTGATTCCTGGTCAGGGCACATACCTAGGTTGCAGGTTCAATCTCAAGTGATCGATGTTTCTCTGAGAAGTCTTCTGGATGCTAGGACAACAAAGCTCCAAGGAGTGGACACGGAACTCGCTCCCTCTGCCCATCATGGCCACTGGCTGGTCAGAACTGCTTGGCAGCCAGCCCGCAGGCTGCACAGGCTCCACAGCAGCTGGGCTCACGGTGCCTCAAGGAGGCAGCCTCCAAGATGGCCCTATTGGTTCACCTCCTGGTGCTCACATGCTTATGAAACGCTCCCTTGAGCAGCAGCTCACTTCTAACAAATACAATACGCAAAAGTGCCAGGATGCTACTTCTGAGATTAGGTTACAGAAGTTTGGCTCCCATCTTGAACTCTCTCTCTCCCCCATTTCATTCATTCTGTGGGAAGCTATACGATGAGCTTCCCTCTGGAGAAGCCAGCATACCAGGGGACTGAGGGAGGGTTCCAGACAACAGCCAGGAATGGAGGCCCTTCATGGAGCAGGCTGTGAGGACTTGATCTCACCAATAATTATGTACGTGTGGAGTGGAGCCTCCCCGAGCTGAGCCTCCAGGTGGGACCACAGCCCCAGCCAGAACCATGCCCATCTTTCCTGCAGACAGAGGCACAGAGCAAGTCACACCCAAATTCCAGGCACAGAGAAACTAGGACAAACGTTTGCTTCAAACAACTAGTGTGGGGTAATTCATTACACCAGACCCTTACCTGACATTCAGAAGAAACTCCTGCCACGAGGCTGCACAGCGAAGGGCTTTGCACTCTGCCAGCGGTGGGAGCCACTCCACTGAGTAACCACTCCTCTCACTCACCCTCACTCCCCCACTCCTCTCACCCCATCTCTACAGGACAAAACCGTTGCTATTGAGAGGAGAACACAGAGTTATAAAATAGCAAAAAATGAAGCCGTTGTCAATTTTGAAGCAGCCATCTTGAAACAGCAGACTTACTCACTCTGCCAAAGGGGTTGGGACTGGAGGGAGGGATGGGACAAAGTGTGAAGGGGATGCAGAGATGGTGCTAGGGTGCTTGCTTTGCACATTACCTGAGGAGCACAGGAAGCTGAAATTTTAATGGTTTGTTTTAAAACCAAGTAAACATACCCTTAGCATCAAAATGACTTTGTGAAAGCAGCCAGATCAAATGACAAGTTCTCTCGGGGAACTGTTTTATCCAACCCCACTATGTAAATACTAGAGGCCTGTTGCATGAAAAGATTCATGCAATAGGCCTTCCTTTCCCCTGGCTGCCGGCACCGGTTTCCCTCTGGCACCCGGGACCCAGGCCTTCGTTCCAGCTGGAGCCGCCTTCAGTCTTCGCTCTGCCACTTCACGCCTATGTTTGCAAATTAACCACCATCTTTGTTGGCAGTTAATTTGCATATCTTGCTGATTAGCCAATGGGAGGCATGGTGAAGGTACGGTCAATTACCATGTTTGTCTATTATTAGATAGGACTATATGGGCTCCACCCAGAGCCTGAGGTCAGGGTTGCCACTGACCTTCCCTTCCTGCTGTGCCTGCACAAGCTCACACATGCATATGTGCGCGCACACACACACACACAAACACCATAAAAGGGGCTCTGGGGTCTGAGAGCACAGGGGAATGATGTGAGTTTCAAGGCCACTGTCAACCCCATGCCATACTCGCATTTGGCTGAATGGTGCTGGCCGGTGTGGCTCAGTGGGTTGAAGTATCATGCCATACATTGAAAAGTCGTGGGTTTGATCCCAGTCAGGGCACATACCTGTGTTTCAGGTTTAATCCCTGGTTGGGTCATGTATGAAAAGGCAACTGATCAATGTTTCTCTCCCTTCCTCTCTCTCTCAAATCAATAAAAACATGTCTTTTGGTGGAAAAAAAAAGGGGCTGAACAGCACCTGTGCAGAGGCTGGAGCTTCACCAAAGACTCCACAGATGCCAGTCATCATGGGTCCCAGTGTGTCCCTGAATGGTCCTCAGCCCAGAACATTGGATGAAGAAGCTGTTTGCTATGCGAAGTGGAAGAAAAGAGCACCATTCTCTTTGAAATGATTCTATTGGTTTCCTGAAGTTCTCGGTGTCTTTACAGCCATTGATTTATCAACACTTACAGGGGAGACTGTCTCTAATGAGTTGTGCCATCATTGATCATCTTGCTCAGCAATAAACCATAGCAGTAGGTATAGGCGACCACAGTCTCCAACCAGCACGGTTCTGAGAGCTTCAACCAGCTATCCTGGGGACAGGTCTTTCCAGCCTGACTTTCTATCCCTCGTGTCATTAGACCATCCTGGGCCTCAGTTTCCTCCTGGGTAGAATGAGGATTCGGGTTTGCCACCCTCAGCTCCATCAGGCTCTGCCCTCCTGGCACAGCAGGCCCCGCCCTCCTGGCACAGCAGGCCCCAGAAACTGGATGCACTCACATTGCCAGGACCCACCAAATGAATCCCTCGGAGCCCAGCTCCTGGGTTTATACTGCAGAGAAAACACTGCAAGCCCGACTGCCAGAACTGGGCTGGCTTTCGGTCCCCACCACATTTCAAGAGGAAAGCTGACTTTTGCTCTGAAGGGTGGAAATGCGAAAGCACAGTGAGAGTTCTGAGTGGGGCCCACAGAGCCAGGCTCACAGTCTCTCCATCCACCACATGGAATTCCAGACACTGAAGGCGCCCAGCAGGCCGGCTTCCACTGCCTGCCAGCTGCCATAGACCCGGGTCTGTCCTTGCAGCTTCAGCGTGGAGCCAGAAATCTGGAAGAATTTAACACCCGCTGGTTCAGACACAGGAAAACATTGTTCCAAGTAAACACTGGAATCCTCCTCATCACCCAGGAATGTGCAGCCAGCAGGGCTGAGATCAGCAGCGGCTCTGCCTGGACTGCGGCCTGGGAGGGCCGGGGACTCCAGAGCTGCTTTCTGGCTGAGCCACAGTCAAGGCTGGGAGGTCAGCACATGGGCTTTTCCCCTTACAGCCACGATCCCACAGGAGCCCACGGGACCCAACCTGTATGCAGCAGCCGCAGGGTCCTTAACCCTGGGAAAACAGCAGGCACCTCCCGGTAGAGCTGAGCGGGTCAGGATGTCTGGGACTCTGGGCTCCTTGGCCTGCGGCAGGCTGTGAAGGAAGCATTTTTCCTGCAGGAAGAAAGGGGCTCTGTGCGCAGGGAGGGTACAGGGAGGGCACAGGGCCTGCACCAGAAGACGTGTGTGTGATGGGCTGTGGCCACCAGCGGCCATGGTGCCTTGAGGGAGACCTAACTCACTCCACCTCTCAGAGCCAGGAGCCAGGCCACAGCGGTTTCCTCTGCCTGGAGAGCAGAGAGCAACACTTGAATCATCAGGGGCCACACGATGGGCCCCAGAAAAATGTTACCCCTCAAGTCGCTGTGTCATTGTGTTCCTCTGCCTAACCCCCCCGTGCCCCCCCCCCCCCCCGCACAGGCATGAGCTGAATTGTTAAAGGATTCCTACAGTCAAAACAAAACCCTGCAGGTTAGGAAGAGCTCCCCAAGAATGCAGAGTCCACAGGTGGCTGCTTGGCCAAAGGAGCTCCAAGCAGAGCCCTTGCAGGGCTGCCCAGGAGCAAATCCAGGGACAGCCTTTCTCTGACTCAGCACAGCTCTCACCTCAGCATCAGCCCTTAGGGGTCCACAGAGGTGCTTTTAATTCACTAATTTTTATGCAGATTTATCAAGTGCCTCCTAAGAACCAGGAAAGCCAGAGGGACAGCATCCCTCCTCTCAGGGAGCATGGGTTCTGGACAGGGGTCCTCAGGGTGGTCTGAGGGCCAGCAGCAGCAGCATCATGGAAGCATGTTAGAAATGCATTTTCTCTGGTTCCACCCTGGCCTACATCATACACTCTGGGGTGGGGCCCAGGGACTGTATTTCAACATGCCCTCTTGGTGATGCTGATGCCTTTGAAAGTTTGAGAAGTAAGTTTAAGAATCACCCAACCTAATCTGTGGTCTCCTCACTGGAGAACAGAAAAGCAGAAAGGTTAATGGTTTGCTTCAGGCACGTCATAGAAATGGTGCGTTAATATGCCCCTAGATTCAGAACAGCTGTGCCAAACTGTGATGTCACTGGAAATGTTGATTCAAGTTTCAGAAACACTTCTTCACGTTGGCCACCTTTTACTGGTGGTTTCTGAGCAATCAAACAAGTGGGATGTCTTTCAGCTTGTGCCTCGTGGCTTCATTTAAAGGCTACTTTGAGAAGATGGTTGTCTTTGGGGTGTCCTCCTCACCTAATTCTTGGTGGGCATCAAGGAGATTATACCAACCGATTTTCTAAGTTGATTTTTAAATGAAAGTACCAACTGATGAAGTAAAATCTCAGTTGTCCATTCAGCAAATGTCTCTAATGTTGCCAAACCCAGTTACCTACTTTGCTTTTACCACCCAGCTTGTCTGGCCTATTGCAGCGATGGAACCTCCGGCCACTATCCAAACCCCTCTTCCCCCAGGTCCATCCCTCCCCCTCTGCCTGGGGTCACCACCTCACTGCCTGTTCTTTCAGGCTCTTTGCTGGTTCCTTCTCCTCTGCTCCACTTCAGTCTGGGTGCCCATCTCTTCCCCAGGGCACCCCCTCTCAGGGTGACCTTATTACTGTGCCATGCTCCCACACAAGTCTCCAGCCAAGGACTCATATCTGAACTCTAGGATTGCATAACAAATCCCCAACAGGATAGCTCTCCTTGGATATTGACAGTGTCTCAGAACTACTCTATTGCACACACACACACACACACACACACACACACACACACTCACACACTCCACACCTGCTTCTTCATTGGTCTCCCACGTTTTATTAAACAGCACAACCAACACACCATTTGACAAAATAGGAGTCTTTTTCAACTTTCCTTCATCCTCAAAATCCAATTTATCATCAAGCCACGTCAACTCAGCCTGCAGAAATACAGTATCTTAAATCTATCATCTTCTCTACATTCTCCTCTGATGACAACTGCTACTACTACTACTACTACTACTACTACTACTACTACTACTAATGGCTCACAGCATGGGTGCCCATGTTTTACATGTATTAACTTGTTGAACTTTCCCAATACACACATGAGTTAAGTATTACTTTGAGACCCTCTTACAGAGGGTAAAATTGAGGCAAATAGAGTCTCAGTGACTTGTTTGTTAAAAGCCACACATCTCTTGTAGTGAAGCCAGGGTTGGTAGTGGGCAGTTGGCGCCAGGACCCATGTGACTAGACTCCATGGCCAACACATAGGGTTCACACAGGAGGAGGGAGAGGACTGCAGGGAGAAATTAGTTTGTAAACAAAAGTGGAAGTCAAACCATGAAGGCCCCACCTTGGTGTGCTGTGCTCCCTGTTTCCTCACCTGGAGCATTCATGCTGAAGAGTTACTTCAGCTTGGGCACTGTGGTGACTGCTGAATGGCTTTAGGCAGGGAGCAGCATTGTCAGTTTTGGCTTTTTGAAAGCAGAGACCTATAACTATCCACCAAGGACTTGTACAACTTGATGCTGGAAATCAATTGCCCAGCCAAAAATTCTATTTCCCCCACTTTGTATCTAGGAAGTCTTGTGTCTGAGTTCTGGCTACCTGCAGACCTTGCTCCAATGTGACCCTTCATTCTCTTTCTTTCTCTGTTCATAAACTTGAAGTAAAGGAATCCAAGTTCCCAGGAGATTACAAAACCACACAATGGAAGGAACCTGGATCCCTGAACCACCACATGGCACTTGACCACAAAATACCCAATTGAATTATACTTCTATTGTGTGAAGTCCCTGATATGTGGGTGGTTATTTGTTACAGCATCTGGGGATACCTTAATAACCCCTATGGCCTTGCTATAATAATGGACTGGAGGCCAACAAGGTTGGAGGATAAAAGTCAGTAAATAAGCTCCTTGCCAACTGGGGGAAAATATATGAGAAACTGAACCAAATGAAGGACAGTGAAAATGAACATAGGGGAACAGAATGCGATCACAACTAACTATAGGGATAAAGGAGAGACAGGGGTCTAGGTCCTAGACTCTAGGATGATACTCAGGTCTCTGAGATGGGTGATGGAGAAGAGCAACAGAGAAGATCCAGTGTGGAAAAAGAGGGCTTAGCTTCACTTGGGGCATTGTAGAAAATCCAGGAAGTGTGCCCAATGAGCAATTGGTCATATGAATTTGTTATCCAAGGAAATGGCCATGGTTATAGGAATAGAATTGGTTAATAGTGAGGACAAAGATCATCATATACCTCATTTGCTTAAAATGAGTTGAGAAAGGACTGATACTTGAACCAGGACTGGGTGGAATCCACCAGAGAGAAGGATGTAGTATAATAAAATTATTTTAAAAAATTGTTTTGTCTTTGCTCTCTTCCTGGCACAGAGCTCCTAAAACCTTTGAGATGTATGTCTTTTGTATGCTAATGATATAGCCATGGAGGACTCCTGGATAGCTTCAAATGAGGCCTGTGGCCAGAAAGACCAGCTGTGTGATTCAAGGGCCCGAACTTTTGGCCCCATCCCAACCACCATGGAGGGGAGGGGATGGAGATTGAGTCACTCACCTGTGATCAATGATCTGATCCATCGTGGCTACATACTGAACCTCCATAAAATTCCTGTAAACTGGGGTTCAGGGAGCTCCCTGGCTTGTGGACACATGGCTGTGCTGGGAAGGTGACATGCCTGAAGGGGCATGGAAGTTCTGTGCCACCCTGTCTCTTCCATGTGGCTCTTTCTGACGTGCAGCATTTATAACAAATTGGTGAACCTGAACAAAGCATTGTCCTGAGTTCTGTGAGTCATTCTACCAAATGATCAAACCAAAGGAAGGGGTCGTAGGAACCCCTGACTTTATAGCCAGTTAGAAGAACAGGGGCCTCTGGAAATTTAAACTAGTGTCTGAAGTGAGGGCAGTCTTATAGGACAAAGCCCCTAACCTTTGTGGGGTCTATGGTAACTTTGCATTGTTAGTGTCATATTTGAATTGAATCCTAGGACACCCCATTGGTGTTTGAGAATCAAAGACTTGGTTGGTGTGTGAAACATCACACATTTGATGTCAGAAAAAAAAAAAAAAAACATCACAGGGATGGATACATCAGTGGCCACAGGAATGTCAAAAGACTCAAGGATTAAATGAACCCATTGGAGGTGACACTAGAAATGCATTTAGGAGGGTAATTCCATTCAATGAGAGGATAAACACCAGCCTTTGGCATGCTGCAGAGATCATGGGGAGGGAGGAAATGAGGGCTGAGCCTGTAACAACAGATCCTAATGGAGGCCTTGCCAGCCCTGCTCAAGGAACAGACGCTCCAACTCAGTCATTCCTTACTGGAACCTATGAAGGTGCCACCATTTTCAAAGTCCTACGTTTATCAGGTGGTGAGGTTAAAATTCAAAACCAAGTCAGTGTGACTCTAAAACCACTGTCCTTCACTGGTACTCTATGATTGTATGTGTAGAGACCCAAACAAATACACACATAAGCCATAAGAAATAGTGAGTTTAGCAAGGTTGCTGACATAAGAACAGCATACAAAAATAATTTGCATTTCTAAATATCAGACATAAACATAACATAAAATGTCTAAAATGATACAATTGCTTCAAAAATATCAACGTTAAGAGTGAGTCTAACAAAAGATGTACAAATCCACCCTACAGAGAATTATACATTATTGAAAAAAATCTTTACCATCTAAATAAATGGAGGAATGTACCATGTTTATTGTAAAAAAAGCTGATTTTAAGTTTTATATGGACATAAAAAGAGGTAAGAATAGAGAAGGCAATCTTGAAGATGAACAAACTTGAAGAACATATTATGTTAGTTTTCAAAATGCATAAACTCCAAATAACTCAAAACAGTGCAGAACTGGTGTAACCACAGATAAACAGACACATAGCATAGACCAGAAACCTCAGAAGTTTCCTTATGGCTCAGCAGAGCGGTGAGGGAAGGACAGTATTGAAAATACTGGATCACGTGAATACCCGTATGGAAAAATAATTACATCTAATTCCTACCCTCTCACAAGATCCAAGAAATCAAGTCCAGGTGGGTTGTACTTGTAAATGTTTGCAATGTTAGAACTAAACAACAAAGCCTCTAGGAGACAGCAAAGGGAAATATCTCCCTGCCAGCAGGGCAGAAAGAAATTTCTTAAAATTAAGAATTTCTGTTCACTGAGAGATACCACTAAGAAAATGAAAAGGCAAGCCTCAGTATAGGAGAAGGTTTCTGTACTCTAATAACCAAAAAGGGCTTATATACGGAATATATGTAATTAAAAAAAAACTACAATCAAATTTTTAAAAGACCAAAAAATAGAAAAAATCGTCGAGATGTGAATAGGTTCATCGCAAAAGATAGAATCAAAATGGTAAAATAAACAAAGGAAAAGATACTCAACCTCTAGGGAATCTGCATTATAACCACAATGAGATACTGCCATTAGAATGGCTAATTTTTTTTTAAATTAACAATGTCAAGTGGAGAGAAGATATACAGCAATGATAATGCCCATGAGACTGCCAGTGGGAACATGAATTGAAAATTTTGACATCATCTCTTAAAGAGAAACATGTAAACACTCTATGTACAAGCAGTTCCACACCCAGGTCAGAAATGTGTGACATGAAAATGCAGGGTCAAGAATGTCTATAACCGCACTACTTATAAACAGCCCCAAACTGGAAAAACCCAAATATCTACATAGGGTGAACTGGACAGGGGGATGGAATAGAATATACAGTGGTATAATCATTCAATGGAACACTATATAGCAATGAATATAAATAAGCTATACCTATGTGTAACCACAATGAACCTCACAAACATAATCTTGAGTGAAAGAAGTCAGGCAAACTATAGTATTTGGGGCTACATTTCCTCAGTGTAAAGCAAGGGTGTGAATACCACACATTTGGGAGAGTAGTTACCTCTGGGCATTAGAGAAGAGGTAAGTAATGGGAGGGCATGGAGGAACTAGGGGGCTAGCAGTGCCCTATTCCCTGACATGAGGGATTATTACCCGGTGGCCACTTTGGCTAAATCACAAAGATGTGAGCTGTATGTCTTTGTGCACTTGATGTAATTTCACATTTTAAAAATCTTTTTTAAGATGTAAGGATGGGCCCTAGCTGGTTTGGCTCAATGGATGGAGCGTCGGCCTGTGGACTGAAGGGTCCCAGGTTAGATTCTGGCCAAGGGCACATGCCTGGGTTGCCGGCTCGATCCCCAGTGGGGGGTGGGCAGGAGGCAGCCAATCAATGATTCTCTTTCATCATTGATGTTTCTCTCTCTCTCTCTCTCTCTCTCTCTCTCTCTCTCTCTCTCTCTCTCTCTCTCTCTCCCTTCCTTTCTAAAAAATCAATAAAACATATTTTTTTTAAAAAAAAGATGTGAGGATGGTAGAGCTGAGGAAGGGGGTGGAAAAGGTGGAAAGGCATAAAGCAAAAAGTGCTAAAAGGATGGAAATGGAAGGTTGTGTAGAATTGTTTGGCTGTTACTTATAAGCCAACCACTGTTACCATGATTTTAGGGTGACCAGTGGCAGGAGGGGGTGGTGAGCGTGGTATGTGTGTGTATGTGTTGTGTATGCATGAGTGCGGATGTATGTGTGTGAGAGAATGAGTGTATGTATATGAGAGAGTGTGGGTATGCATACAATGCATGGGAGTATGTGGGAATGGATGGGTAGATGTTGGTGTGAATATGTTTATGTGTGGGTATGAATGGATGTGGGTATGTATGTATGGGTGTGTGGTATATGTGTTTGGGTGGGTATGTTGGTATGTATGGGTGCATTGGGTATGGGTGTGAGTGTGTGGGTGTTGGGTGAGTGTGTGTAGGTGTGTATGAGTGTGTGTGTTTAGGTGGGTGTGTGGGGATGGGTGTATGTGTGTGAGAGAGAAAGGGAGATTCTCTTTAGCATCAGTGAGGAGACTTGGATTGAGATGGGGGAAGAAGAGACAAAAGATCGGGTATAGTGGAAAAACAAGGGGCAATGGCGTGGGGAGGCTTAAAGCCTTCCAGTGTGAGTGGAACAGTGGGCCACAGGGTCTGGCTGGAGATGAATGCAGTGTCTGAGATGCACTGCAGGCAGCCTGCACCTCTCAGGGGCCTGGCCATCAGCCCGTGGCTTTAGGATGTAATTAGCTAATTAGCAAATTGGCCCTTGTCTCTCTAAGGCCAAAAGCAAGTCTCTAAACCCAGAACAAAATCATCCTTTCCCATGTTCCTAAAAACTTTAAGAATTACAAAGGTAAAGGGAACATTTGTTTTAGAAAGAAACAATGGAAATTGAAAATCAAAGTAGGCCAAGTATTTCCCAGGCAGCCGGCCTGACCTCCTAGCACACATTCTAGAGTCTGGTCTCAACTCACTGTAACTTGACAAACCTTTCTTCCTTTCTCATTGATTCCCTAGCACATTCGAAACAGCTGCACCCATGGTGAGCCATGGATTCACTGCCCACCTTCTCCCTCCACAGCAGACTCCCCTCCAGGCCACATGCTGGACATGAGGTTGGTCCATTCAACTTAAAATACCTCCTCAACACCTTCCTATGAGCCTATCTTCCTGCCTGCCTACCTGTAGGTCCTGTCATCAGAGATGTGGTGGTCTGAGGGAAACTGGGGCTGGGGAAGTCCCTTGATATCCGGGAAAGAAGTAGGGCAAGGGTCAAGTGTGTGGCCAGTAGCTGGTGGAGAAGTATGAGCTGAGATGCATAAGCTGACTGAAGTTTGAACAGTGAAGGGCCAAGTCAGGAGCAGACAAATCAACATTGAAGGTCAAACACTCAATAAAGTCAGAACTCAGACGGGGCCCGGGACCATCTGAGAATATGTCATGGGAGTTCAAGCGTGGACCTTGGTATCAGATGATGCTAGGTTCAAGTCCTGGTTCTGGCATCAGCCAGCTGTGTAACTCTGGGTTAGTTACTGACCTCTCCTCACCTCATTTTTCTCTGGTAAAGTGGGGATAGGATGGGCAGGGGGATAGGCATGGGCATGGGGATTGGCATAGGAAAAGGGGATGGACAAGGGAATGGGGATGGAATAGACATGGGGTTGGACATGAGCATGGGGATGAGCATAGGAATGGGGATGGGAAGGGGGATGGGTACAAGGATGCCGAAGGAGATGGGGATGGGCTTGGGGAAGGTGAGGAAACGGGTTTGGGAGTAGGGATGGGCATGGATATGGGCATGGGCAGGGGTGAAGACTCATGTGCTAGGCAAGATTTCAAGTACAACAGATACATCCATATCCCAATGGATCCTGAGCCTGTGAAAGGCAGAGACAGCCCTGGCATGAGCCCCATGAGGAAGTGAACATACACAGGTGCATGAACAATAATACTAAGCTCACCCAGGTGTCTGCCTTTTCTAAGCTTGCTTATTCTGTCGGCTCCTTTGCTGGTGGAGTCCATTCCCGACTGTGACAGCCCCGGGTGCTGGGGTCTCAGCTCTCTCCAAGCCTGGTACCAATCCTGATGAGAGCGGTTGGGCTGATGCCCATTTTCCTCTCCTGGCCCCACACTCCTCCAGCCTCTCCCATCTAGCCTCGCTCCCGGCC